ACAGGACTTTTCATTCGGAGTATAGTACCGACTTTTTCTGGATTGGCGTCGATTCCCCGTTCGGAAACGAGAAAACCGAGTAACTTTCCGCCAGGAACCCTGAATGTGCATTTTGATGGATTAAGCTTGATATCAAACCTTCTGAGGTTGGCAAAGGTTTCAGTAAGGTCAGTCAGCAGGTCAGAACCCTTCCGTGACTTGACTACAATATCATCCATGTACGCCTCCACATTCCGACTGATTTGGGTGAGCAAACACTTCTGAATCATCCTCTTGAATGTGGCTCCGGCATTCTTGAGGCCGAATGGCATGGTAACACAACAGAAGCACCCGAATGGAGTGAAGAGAGCTGTTTTGATCTCGTCAGGTCCATATAGACGGATCTGATGGTACCCAGAATAGGCGTCTAGAAAAGATAGTCGCTCACATCCCGCGGTCGAGTCAACTATCTGGTCGATACGGGGGAGAGGAAAATGATCTTTCGGGTAGGCCCGATTGATATGTTTAAAGTCAATGCACATGCGAAGTGACTTGTCCTTCTTGGGGACCATGACAACATTGGCGAGCCACTCGGAGTGGTAGATTTCTCGGATGAACTCCGCCGCTAAGAACCGAGCCACCTCTTCGCCAATGGCCTTTCTCTTCTGGACGGCGGACCATCGGAGATGTTCCTTGACAGGTTGTACTTTTGAGTCGACTCTTAGGCGGTGCTCGCCAGGTCCCTGGGAACACCCGGCATGTCAGAGGGCTTCCATGCGAAAATGTCCTAGTTCTCACGGAGGAACTGGATGAGCGCTTCTTCCTATTTGGAGTCGAGTGTTGTCGAGATATGACTTGGAGCAGCGCTGGGGTCGGTCGGGTGGATGTGAGCTGTCTTCGTATCGCCAGTCGACTGAAAAGCTGACTCTGTAGCAGGCTTCTTGGCTCGCAACAAATCACTCGGGTCTGCAGTCTTCTGGTATTCCTGCAACTCCACCACTTCCATCTAAGCATTAGCGATCTTCGAACCTTTCTGAAAACATTCTTCCACTTTCTTCCGATTGCCCGTAATAGCGATCACACCTTTGGGGCCAGGCATCTTCAATTTAAGGTACACGTAACATGGTCGGGCCATGAAGCGTGCATAAGCCGGCCTCCCCAAAATAGCGTGGTAGGCACTCTGGAAGTCTACAACTTTGAATGTCAACTTTTCTTTGCGGTAATTTTTGGAATCACCAAAAACCACATCAAGAGCAATCTGGCCGAGCGATTTAGCCTTCTTCTCAGGAATGACTCCATGGAAACTCATGTTGCTGGCACTGAGTCTGGACATCGGAATGCCCATCCCTTTCAACGTCTCAGCATACAATATGTTCAAACCACTGCCACCATCCATCAGGATTTGGTCAGTCGAGTGCCTTCAACAACTGGGTCGACCACCAAAGCTTGCCTCCCAGGGGTGGCGATGTGCGTTGGGTGGTCAGACTGGTCGAATGTTATGGCAGTCTGAGACCATTTCAGGTAACTAGGTGTCGCCGAAGCGACCATATTCACCTCTCGGTTAATAACTTTCAGTCGACTTTTGCTTTCAACATCAGCAAAAATCATCAGAGTGGAATTGACCTGAGGGTATCCGTCATCACTGTCTTCTTTGTCCTCGACCTTGTGTGACTCCTTTTCCTTACCTTTGGGCTGCTTGCCCTGGAACTGCTGGATCAAGAGTCGACACTGTCGAGTGGTATGTTTTGGGTAAATGAAATTACCCTCTTCATCTTTCTTTGTGTGGACGAGACATGGTAAGTCCAACACATCATTTCCGTCCTGGTCTTTAACCTTTTTGGGGTTCCAAGGTCCTTTAGGTTTCCCTTTAAACTTTCCTTGGGTTAAAGCCAAGGCTTCCCCGGGAGCCGCTGGCTCGGCTTTCCGCTTCTGTTTCCGATTGGAATTTCCTTTGGTTTCTTGGGTGACTGACTTGAGCTTGCCACTCCTGAGTCGATCCTCATCTTCACCATTAGCGTACTTGGTGGCAATCTCCATCATCCGATTCAGGGACATATCTCCGGTTCGACCGAATTTCAAATTCAGTTCTCTGTACTTGACGCCTTCCTTGAAGGCACAAACTGCTTGGTGGTCAGGCACATTCTCCACCAAGTGATGTAACATGATCCACCTCTGGATGTAATCCCTCAAAGTTTCATTCGGCTTCTGCATGCAAGACCGCAGTTCCGTCAGCCCTGCCTGTCGCTTGCATGTGCCTTCAAATGTGGTGACGAACACTCGGGAGAGATCTTCCCAAGTGAAAATGCTGCTAGGTGCTAACTGGTTCAGCCATGCTCTGGCCGAGCCCTCCAACATGAGAGGCAGGTGCTTCATGGCCACTTCATCATTGCTGCCGCCAATCTGGACGGCCACTCGGTAGTCCTCAAGCCAAGTATCGGGCTTGGACTCGCCAGTGAACTTACTGACTCCAGTCGCCAACCTGAAGTTGGGAGGAATCACAGCGGCCCTGATGGCTCTACTAAAGCACTCTGGCCCCGAAACATGTACTCTGCTGCTGGTAGGTGCATCTCTGTCGTGACCTTCTCGGTGAGCCCTGTTCCTGTCGACCAAACCTTGGACGAGAATGGATCTCGCATCAAATCCTGGCCCTCTGGGGTCGACAGGAACTTCTCGGCAGTGTCCAAAATATCCACGTCGAACTGGACAGTCTTCAAACTGTCCAGATGATCAACCAAACCGGCAGGAACTTCTCGGCAGTTGGACCATGGATCAATGATATAAAACAACTGCTGGAGACGAAGCAAAACGTGAAGGTTACTTGGGTTCGACGATCTGCGAATGTCGCGGCGCATAAGTTGGCTAGAGTAGGGGTAGGAGACGAACTATGTAGGGTCTGGTTGGGGGTGCCCCCAGACTGTATTTTGAGTGTAATCTCAGATGACATTCCGGGTTTTGCGGACTTTTAATTAAATAAAGCGGCGGTATTTACCCTAAAAAAACTGTCATCGTAACGTTAAGCGTGCGGACCCTACGGGTTCGAGAACTATGTAGACATGACCGAGACACGTCTCCGGTCAATAACCAATAGCGGAACCTGGATGCTCATATTGGCTCCTACATATTCTACGAAGATCTTTATCGGTCAGACCGCATAACAACATACGTTGTTCCCTTTGTCATCGGTATGTTACTTGCCCGAGATTCGATCGTGGTATGTCAATACCTAGTTCAATCTCGTTACTAGCAAGTCTCTTTACTCGTTCCGTAATACATCATCCCGCAACTAACTCATTAGTTGCAATGCTTGCAAGGCTTAAGTGATGTGCATTACCGAGAGGGCCCAGAGATACCTCTCCGACAATCGGAGTGACAAATCCTAATCTCGAAATACGCCAACCCAACAAGTACCTTCGGAGACACCTGTAGAGCACTTTTATAATCACCCAATTATGTTGTGACGTTTGGTAGCACACAAAGTGTTCCTCTGGTAAATGAGAGTTGCATAATCTCATAGTCATAGGAACATGTATAAGTCATGAAGAAAGCAATAGCAACATACTAAACGATCGTGTGCTAAGCTAACGGAATGGGTCATGTCAATCACATCATTCTCCTAATGATGTGATCCCGTTAATCAAATGACAACTCATGTCTATGGTTAGGAAACATAACCATCTTTGATCAACGAGCTAGTCAAGTAGAGGCATACTAGTGACATTCTGTTTGTCTATGTATTCACACATGCATTATGTTTCCTGTTAATACAATTCTAGCATGAATAATAAACATTTATCATGATATAAGGAAATAAATAATAACTTTATTATTTCCTCTAGGGCATATTTCCTTCAGCAACGATGCTAGATCCCGCCTGATGAGGGACTAGTGAAGATAAATGTGGACGCCGGAGTTTTGGTGCAACACAATGCAGGAACCGCAGCAGCCATCTGTCGTGATCGAGATGGTTCCTATCTTGGGTCGTCAATGTTAGTTATCCAGGGCATTATCGGATCCAACTAGTTTGGAAGCTTTAGCTTGTCGAGAAGCTCTTTCACTGGCGCAAGACTTGGGTTTACAACATCTCCAAATTGCATCAGATTGTAAACAGGTTGTGAACCATATTCGCCAGGGCGTGGGAGGAAGCTATGGAAGTGTTATTAGAGAGATCCTAGAAACTGCGAGAAATTTTACTTCTTGTAATTTTGTTTTCGAACCTCGAGCTTCAAATACTGAAGCTCATAGGTTAGCTAGGTCAGGTACCTCTCTACCTTACGGGCACCATATTTGATTGGGCACGTCGAGTGACCCAATCGCTTTTCGTGTAAACATCGGTATTGATTAATAAAGACCTAGTTTTCTTGCTAAAAAAAGCTATCCCGAGAGGATAAGTGCGATGCACCGTGGTGGGGTGGGGCCCACACACAACGTGGCAAGCAGACAGGGGACGGAAATCGCGCTTTGATGGGACGTTGCACGTGCGACGGGTCGCCTAGAACGAATCATTTTCCTTTTCAAAATTTCAACAACAAGAAAGTTGAGGCAAAGTTTCAACAAGTTTTCCTAGTATTATTTTGCATGTGTAAAATGGGTTGGCCCTATTTCCACTCGCAAGAAAAAGGGGTTCGTCCTATTTTGAGAAAAAAAATCTCTGGCGAAACCTCCCCATACCGGTCCAAATTCACCACCGAATCTCGAGTCAACCGCGACCAGAGCACCTGCGCGCGAGCGGGTGCGCGGCCGCCTGCCCAAGCCTGCCACCTCCACGCCCCGTTCCGACCTGCGAAACTTCCAATTCCTCCTCCTCCTCCTCGGCCCCTCCGCGCCCGCTCGCGCATCGACGGAAGCGCCCGAGCTCCGCAGGCCACAGAGATCTCGATCGACGCGCGGCCCCCAGATCCCGATCCCCCGGATCCCCCGCCGCGGCCGATGCGATCCGCGCCGGCCCCGCGCCGCCGGACTCGACAGCGGACCGGCTGACTCCGCCCCCGCGCCGCGCCGGAATTTCGCCCGCCCGAATTTCGATGGGATCCTTCCGACTCGCCGCGCTCGCGGCGCTCCTCCTGGCCTTCGCCCTGCTCCCGGACCCCGCGGCGGCTAGGGTTTTGCAGGGCAAGAAGCCCGGCTCCGGCGAGGTGAGGATTGCTGATTGCACTTGTTTGAGTCAGCTAGCTCGTATTGTTTTGTTGATGAATGGGTTGGCGTTCTTCGGAGAATATGGGCGAGCTTTGATTTAGTGCTTGTCTTGATCTCTTCTCCAGGAAGCGCCTGTACCTAACGTGGCTACAGGTGGATCTGAGAAGGGCGCCGCCTCGAAAGAACCGGGGCAACCATCGACTCCGGCGGGGAATCCTGAGACTGGTAAACAGCACCAGAAAACACCGCCGGCGGAAACAACGCCAACACCGCCACCGCCAGAAACAACGCAAACACCACCACCGCCGGAAAAGACTCAAACACCAAAGGATTCTCCACCGCCACCATCAGGTGTGCCAGAGAGTAAGGGGCAGAAAGGGAGTGACGCGGAGGTCTCTGCACAGCCGGTGCCAGCGAAGAATGGGCGCAACGAGAGCCCCCCTCCCGGAAGCCCTGAATCAACTGGAGGAGGCTCAGGAAACAAGAAGCCCGCAACTGAATCAAAAGAGGTGGCTGAGGAGTGTAAGGATCCAGTAGACACATGTTCAATTGAAGGATTGTCTGCTTGCCTTCAGGTGTCTAAGACAGGTAACATTACTAGTCATGCTGAAACTTGAAGCTTCAAGTCACCGACTTATTCCTAAATATATGTCCATGATATAGTTGTTTCCGGCTTCAATCTCCATTCCACCTAGTGTGATGAATGATGATGCATAAAGGTTTCTTGTAACTTGGACATTGATGCTTCAGTCATTCTTATGAGCGTTGGCTTGAGTTGTAGCTAGTGCTTAAGATTAACCCTGGACATTGGCCTTCAAGTGCAAAGACAGCGGGAGCCTCTGCAAATCAAATTTTACTGAGAACATAGAAAGTTTTGATACTCATTCCATTTGCTTTTATTTAGAACAGATAACTACTTTGACACCGCAGTCTATGGAATCTATATACAGCGCAAGTAATACTGACGTATCTTTTGGTATTGTACAATTTTTATCTTCTTAATGCATTGTCCATGTTGAATCTTAAGTGGCATGGCCTTCCTTGTTATGATTCGGTAACTATGGTCCATTTGGAAATATAGTGAGATGGTGAAGTACTGACGCGGTATATTGTGCGTGAAGGAGCTTTTTTTTTTTTGCTGCATAAAAGATCAGAGGGCTTTGTTTAATACTCCCTCCATTTCTAAATATAAGTCTTCTTAGAGATTTCAATACAAACTACATATGGATGTATATAGACATATTTTAGAGTGCAGATTCACTCATTTTGCTCCGTATGTAGTCCCTTGTTGGAATATCTAAAAATACTTATATTTAGGAACGGAGGGAGTGCTAAGTAACTATGTACATCAGCTAGCGGCTTAGTGTTTTTAGTGGACAGTCACGTCAGAGCATACTGGTTACCTTTTAGTGAATTCAATATTTATGTACAGCTTAAGAATCTCCAGAGAATAACATCTGGTACTTTGACAAACAATTTGGTTTGTGTGTGGTAGCATTCCTCCTAGCTTCATAGTATGGTCTATCTAGCTTGGCTTTTACTCCCTCGGTCCCAAAATAAGTGACACTTATTTTGGGACGGAGGGAGTACTTTAATGAATCTGAAGAAGCGTTATGTTTGTTTTCTCTCACAGTTATAAATTGGTTTATATCATGCTATTGACTATCTATTATGACCTTCAATGCCATGAGTCTTCAGAAAGCTTCATGTTTATTTCTTCTCGCAGCTTCAAGTGGACAATTTTTTATAGTCCAGAATACAGGGCAGAATACCGTAACTGTTGATGTCAAAACAACATCAGATATAAGTATAGCCCATACGTTGCCACCTCTCAGCAAGGGTGAATCTAAAAGGGTATGCAACTTTCATTTGTTTAACAAGCAGTATGTGTTATCTTCTTGGTGCACTGGTGGTTCAGTCAATTTAACTGTTATTCTTTATTTGTATGGCCTTTCTAAACTTATTATCAATCCATATTGCCAGGTTAACATAAGCTCTAGCAGTCCAAATGGTGGAGAGGTTACCCTAAATGTTGGGACTGGGCATTGTGTCTTGCGCATCAGGCAGCCAGTTTATGATTGGCAACAACAATTTCAGCAGCTTACATCTTATGCAACGACTGTGAAGCCAATCTATGGAGCCTATTTTGGTGTTTTCACGCTTGTCTTGGTTGGGGCCGTCTTTGCTTGTTGCAAGTTTGCAGGGACAAAGCGCGATGGTGGGGTCCCATATCAGCAGCTTGAGATGGGGTCTCAGGCTCAAGCTCCTGACTCATCAGGTGCAAACAACACTACAAGCACAGGAGATGGCTGGGAAGATGGATGGGATGATGACTGGGATGACGAGGAAGCACCTGCAAAACCTTCAGAAAGAGGACCTGCTGGAAGCATCTCGGCAAATGGCCTTTCTCTGAGATCTCCAACCAATAGATCTCCAACCGATAGCAAGGACGGATGGGATGTAGATTGGGATGACTAAGCTACAACATAATGTTGGAAGGACCTGTCCTTTCTTGTGAAACGGGAGAAGATAAGTTCATCTGAATGGCTCGCAGCAAATACAGTATCCAACCTTAACCTGAAACTCGATGGATCCATGCTTGACAAGGTGACCCTTATCCTGGAATATCAAAGGCTTGCTTGTATTAGTACGGTTTGTACAATAGTGTTCCACTAGTAATTTTGTTTACGAGCTGATCCATGAACTAGTGGTACAAATTGCGCTGTTTTGGCTGTAATACCATAGCTCTAGTTACATGACCAAACACACCCTCGCTATTCTTTCGGAGAGTATATCATTCTTTTTTCCCCATAGCAGTTTTCGTGTTGAATACTTCTATCCTGAGTCCTGAATTCTAAACCACAACGTGTTATGTGTTCTACTACTCACTGATTATGTGCTGTGTAGTGTGTACGTTGGGGCAGCTAAGTTGAAACCCACACATGACACATGCTTGATAGACCTTTGTGATGAAAATAGTTTCAAGAGGGAGGTGTGGAGAAGCAGTGGTTAGTGCCGACTGCTGAATCACCATCTCCATAGGGCTTGTTCCCTTCCTCATGCATCTGTGCTTCACTTGTATTCATTTGATGTTACTTTGACTAGCTGTGTATCATCATGTTCGCCTCCTCATGCATCTGTGCTTCACTTGTACTAATTTCATGTTATTTTGACTAGCTGTGAATCAGATCTGTTTTAAGGACCGGGGTTGGCTCTTCTCTTAGTTAGCTGAAGTCTCATGAGTTCTTTGATGATTTTGCGCCTTTTTTTCAATAAAATTAGCCAGTACTTTCTAAATTTAAACCACATCTGACCACTTCCCATCGGCGCTGCACATCATGGCACTGGGTGCGAGCATCTCTATTCTGGAGTCCATCGTCCGTGGCGTCGACCCTGGATTTAGCGGTGCACTGTCTCGCTGAGCTGCAAATCCTCAGCGTAGTCGTGTGTGGTGCTGACGGGGAAGGGCCGGCATGGTTGGAGTTTCAGAACTATGCGCCAGTTGAGGAACTTGACACTGTCATTAAGAAAAGAGAAACGTTTCCAGCCGGGGCACTGGCCGAACCGTTACGCCGGTCTCACGTCCATGCGACCAGAAACAGCGCACCCCTTCCCTTATCTGCTGCAGCACATATCCTTCTTCCTTCTCCATCGCTCAGCTCCCTCACGCCCATCCCCACAACTCCGTTCCCCGTCCTACACCACTGGCGTCGCCGCAACTCCGGTCCCCTGTCCCGCAACACTGCCTTCGCTGCCGCAACCCTCCTCCTCCTCCTCCACCCCCTCCTCCCCTCCGCCCTCAATCTCCTTCCTCCTTTTCCTTTCTCTATGATGGCCAACGCTCGCCCTGAATCCCGTGATCCCCGTCGACCATCTCTCATCGGAGATGGACACGACGACAGGGGGGAGCCCTGCGCTGCTGCGATGCCGGAACCAACATCTATTTTTGCTACAACCTGCAGGCCAAAACGCTGGAACTGGCCAGCTCGGAAGCTGAAAACCGGCGAGACTAGATGCTACGAGCGGCGAGGTGGAGCTCAACGACGAGCTTCAAATGAGAGGCGACCGGTGCTGCAACCAGCGTGGATTTGAGCTGGAACCGGTCGACAAAATAGCTGCATCCAGCGTGGATTTTTGCTACCAGAAACAAGGCGTGTTCCGACCGGCAACATGCATAATGCTAAAAGCTTCAAGCGGCAAGGAAAAAGGCTTCAACCGACATAATAAAAGCTTCAACCATGAAAATCATAAAACAAAAAAATCTTCAATTTTTTTTTCAAAACTATGACGTATTTTATAGCAAATTCGGAAACTATAGCAAAGAGTGGAGAAAAATCAAAACTAGCACCCCGTCGGCCACACGTGGGCTAAAAAGGGTGTTTTCGGCCTCCCTTTGGCCAAAATGGACTTTTCGGTCTTGCCTTGGCCGAAACCTTTTTGGTCAGGAGTAGGCCGAAAAGTCCCTTGGACCCACTTTTTCACGTTAATAGTTGACCGAAGTTGCATGACTCCACTCTTCGGCTTACGTTAGGCCGAAGCGATTTTTTTTTATTTTGGTATATAAATACTGTGCAACCATTGTCCATCTTAGACACTGAAAATATATATTTTCGCGCAACCCTTTCCCCTCAATATTTTTCCATCAACTCTTTCCCGCCAACCCCTTCCCGCCATATGTTTCTCCCACCCGTTTCCCGCCAACCCCTTCCCGCCAACCCGTTCCCGCCATACCACAGTATACCATTAAATAAAATCTTCATATTTAAAAAAATGGGATAAAAGCGCAAGCGATGGAGTCAAAAACCTGACCTCACGCTGGGTATATGTGTTACCAGCCAAATAGGATAGCATCTGGCTAATGTACAACTACCGATCCCTTTCTTTATAAAAAGTTAGCATTTTCGAAAAAAGTGAACAATTTTACTTTAGCAATTTAAATAATTATTTAAAATAAAAATTTCCGAAATACAAACAAACTTTTAAAACGTGAAAATTTATTGGACACATGAACAAAATTATAGAATTCCAAACATTTATTGATTTTTTAAGTGATGAACAATTTATAAATATACACTGAGCATTTTTGTAGTATAAGCTAAAAAATTTCTGAAGACACATTGAATATTTTTGTGATATACGGTTAATGTTTTTCTGAATTGTGAAGACATTTAATAAAAGTGAAAAGATTTTGAGAAACATGATTTTTTTAAAATATGAAGAATTTATTTAATGGTATACTGTGGTATGGCGGGAAAGGGTTGGCGGGAACATATGGCGAGAAGGGGTTGGTGGGAAACTGGTGACAGGAACATATGGCAGGAAGGGGTTGGCGGGAAACGGGTGGCGGAAAAGAGTTGGCGGGAAAATATTGAGGGGAAAGGGTTGCACGAAAATATGTTTTTTCAATGTCTAAGATGGGCAATGGTTGCATAGTATTTATATATCAAAATTTTAAAAAAAAAATCGCTTCGGCCTAACGTAAGCCGAAGAGTGGAGCCATGCTACTTCGGTCAACCATTAACGTGAAAAGGTGGGCCCAAGGGACTTTTCGGCCTACTCCTGACCAAAAAGGTCTTTTCGGCCCAGGTACGCACCTTTTCGGCCAAGGCAAGGCCGAAAACACCCTTTTCGGCCCACGCGTGCCCGACGGGATGCTAGTTTTGATTTTTCTTCACTCTTTGCTATAGTTTTTGAATTTGCTATAAAATGCGTCATAGTTTTGAAAAAAATATCAAAAGCTTCAACCCGTGCGAAAAATCTTCGACTTGCGCGGCAAAAGCTTCAATCAGTGTGTAAAAAAGCTTCAACAGGCGAAGGACAAAGCTTCAACCATGGGATAAAGCTTCAATGGGGTGGGAAAACAGTTTCATCCATGGAAAATATTTTACGAGCGATGCCGGAAAAAGCTTCAACCGCTATGTGAAAAAGCTTCAACCGTTGCCATTTTTTGCTACTACTGGCGCCGGATTTGCTACATCCATTGCGGCGGAGCTATGACCTACTACGGCAGTGGCTTTTTTTGTTGCAACCGTTGTTGAATTTTGGTACTACCGGCGATGGATTTTGCTACGAAAGAAGTCCACATACCCCCCCCCCTAGGTTTCATGAACCGGCCAATTTACCCCCTGAAGTTTAAAACCGGGTAACTAACCCCCTGAACTTTTCCAAACCATGTTAATCACCCCCTAACCCTGGTTAGAGTGGTTTTGTAGGTGGTTTTGATGACGTGGTGAGGTGCTCCTCCTTCCCGACATGCACCTGGCCTCGACCATACTACTCCGAGCACGAACCAGTGTGGTACCACTCATGGCACAGGACATCAACATGTAGCTTGCCGAGTCCCACACTTCTAACTTTGTGATCTTCTTGGCGCGCGGTGAGCCTTCCCAGCTCCAGGTCTTGCAGCCTGCACGAAGCCAGCAGCGTCTTGCATCGAAAGGCAACCCCTCGACCAGGCAGGCCAACGTCCTTGAACCTGCTCTCCTGCCTAGTGCATGCGCCCAAGGTTTGAGGGATCCTTATGGCTGTCTGCGCCATAGCGCTCCTGCTGCTTCCCACGTGACCAGTGGTTGGTACAGTCATACTCATGCTCTCCGAGGCGGACAGTGGAGGTCATCTACGACTGTGACGAGCAGGACACGAGCGCCGGAAGCACGAGGAGCTGGTGAGCCGCGTGCACTTGAGGAGGTAGGCACGAGGTCCCGATGGCACGTGAACTCAAGCTCCGCCGGAGACAATACACACGTACATACATACTGCTGTTGAATCGATTCTCTCCTGGACAAGCACACACGTACACACATGAAGTATGTGCCACCATGTACAAGCTAGACATGACTATTCTAATCGTGATTAGCTCTAAAATGGTGGACGTCGCCAGCTGCCGGCGGCAGCCCCAGCCACAGGTGGCATGGGCGCGAACTCTGTATGTGGTGCAGGTGCGAGCTATTGTCGACTTGAGGACAAAGCGAACGCGGCCGGCGAGGGCTGCCGAGGCGACTAAGGCGACGACGGTGCAGTTGCGTGTGCTTGCTTTTAGGAGCTGGTGCGCCGCTAGGAGCCGGGGGCCTTGCCAATTTGCCATCCGATTGATGCACCAATTTTTTTACGGAGGAGGACGGAGCTCGAGAAGCCATTCCCCCGGGGTTCAACGAGAGTACGAAGGCGAGGGGTCACGCAGAGTGGGCGCAACAGTAGCACATCATGCGACACAAGGTACTTCTTGTACCATGCTGGGCTTGGCTCCCTCGTGGCCGGCTGCTTGTTGGTGCTACCATGAGGTCGACGAGTGGTTTGGGCGCGACGTGCAATGGCAGAAGGATCGGAGGAGGCCAGGAACCATGCCGACCTGGCACCTGCAATCTGCCCAGTCACCAAAACCGCTTGAAAAACCAGTCTAGTAGATGTGAGGGGGTGATTCACCTGGTTTGGGAAAGATCAGGGGGTTATTTACCCGGTTTTAAACTTCGGGGGGTATATTGTCCGTTTCAAGAAACCTCAGGGGGTTATGTGGACTTTTTTCATTTTGCTACATCTATCATGGCGGAGCTGCGACCGGCGGCGAGATGAATTTTTGCTGCAACTGTTGACGGATTTTTGCTACTACCGGTGTACACTTTTGGTACAACCGGCGACACAGAATGCTACAACCATACGGCCATGTTATCACCAGCGGGGGCGTTTTGCCGGAGCCGGTGAGGTCGATTTTGCTACAACCGGCGTCGAGAAAAGCTGCAACGTGCTTCTAAAAAAGCTTCAAACGGAGAACGGCTAGCTAACAATGGCGAGCGGCGGCGACGGAGCTGCATGGTGGTGCTGTGATGGGCGTGTGGCGAGTACGACGGCGGGCTGTGACGATGCTAGAACTCTCCCCCGGCGGTCCTGCAACCAGGAGAAGGGAGACATGCCCGGCCCGACGGAACTAGGGACGTCTTTTTCTTTTTGACAGGCCCGGCGGAGCTGCATATGGTGAGCGTCCCCGACGAGCTGTGGTGGCGAGCGTCCCTGAAGACTGGCAACAGCGAGTGGCCTCGGCGAGCTCCGACACGGCAGCCAAGGGCGAGCACGAAGAGTCTGGACGGCGTAGATCCATTTATTCTGTTTGTGCGTGCGTGGAAGGAAGAAGATGACTTGGCAGCGACAATCTCGTCCGTTCACCTTTGCAGATCCAACGCTCGGCAGCAGACCGGCATAAATTTGGACCGATACGCCGGCGCAGAGTACCGGCCTTAAAGAAAAAACACAAAAAACCAGAAAGTCTTCGACATGTGCGCAGCTGTGCACAACGTTAGGTTTCCTTGTGAGTTGCCCATGACGCTCAGCTTTGCGCCGAGTGCTCTTTGGGATCTGGCAAACTACGCTGAGCAGGGTACTACTTCCTTCGTCCCAAAATAACTGTCTTCGGTTTAGTATACAGCTTTGGATTTACTATATTGAGCCTCATATTACAGTTTAGGATAGTACGGTATGCTGACTTTGATGTTTGGCCGGCTATCACTAGCACTACGCAACCCAGCGAGGATCGGCTCTCCGGTGCTCAATTTTCTACAGCATTGACTGGCACTCAGCCACAGAAGTGCCATGCCATGAGAGGGGATACTGCTTCCTTTTTTTTCTGTTTGAGGAGAGGGGATACAGCTTCCAGTGCGTGCGGAAGTGCAGAGATGGCACTCGGCGTCGGCAGGCTGAAGGAGAGCAGAACTGATTTGCGTACGCATTCTGGCCCACGCGCGTACGCGACATGCTCGATATAGCCTGGTCTAAAAGCTTGCTATGTCCTCCCATTTCTTTACCAGGCCGACGGTCCTCTTGTTCTGAATGGGCCACTAGTGAGAAAAGCAACCCATCTAAACCCACGACTGAAAAAAAAACCCTTGGAAACCCCGCGCGCATCCTCGTGTTTCTCCCGCCGCTTGCTCAGGCCCCGGCCGCATCGCGAATGGTCTCGAAGATGCAGTAGGACCGCAGGATCAGTAATTTTGCTCCAGATTCTCGAAAAAAGAGTAATTTTGCTCCATTTTCAGCCCCCTGAAAAAACGACTGCATTTTTCCTAGTCTCAACGACTGTAGCGAGGATTTCTCCAGCTCACCCTGCACGGTACCATTGTGTTTGTGGAAGCCTGACGCTGTGCAGCCGGAGGTATGCGGACTACACATGCCAAGAATTTCAGGCGCCCACTTGCAGATTGCATGTACTCCTTTCAGTTTTATCACTCCAGCAATATATATTACCTTCGTTCTAAATTTCTTGTCTTAGATTTATTTAAATATGGATGTATCTAGCATTAAAACATGTCTAGCTACATCTGTATCTAAATAATCCATGTACCAATTCACATAGGCTGGAGTTGACCCCTCCTCCCCGCCTAATGTTGTTTTATTTACTATACATTTGCAGGCATCCCCCTCATGCAATGCAAGCATTCACACGATGCATGGTTAAGTTCAACACTTCGATCACATAGTCGTATGCATGCCGTCGCCTCCCCCCATGGGTTGCACGGAGGGTGTTGATGTGAGCCTTACACATAAGCATCGATATATATGCTCCATTGTCTATCTCTCCATCACAATAGAATAATGGCCATGAATTTATTAGTGCTTCCTTCAGTGTCGTGAGGTAAGCATTATTACGTCCGGGCTGTATCAGGGCTTCAGTGGGCGCGGTTCGTTCCTAATCTCCAGGGACAAATGATCATATTTAACACCCCTAAAATACAATCATGATCTGGCCACAGATACAGATGTGGATTATATATTCTCTGCAAAGAGGGTTTGACCAAAGCTGATATGAACGGCCTTCGGTTCGCTTGATCCCATCGGAGTTTGAATTTTTGGATGTTCTATGGACACTGCAGAGTTTCATTGCACAAAGATGAGATTTACCTATTTGGTTGCCTCAAATCGGAAGGGGTTTTGGTTAAAATTATAAAAAATTTGTTAGATCCGTTGCATCCAACGAGTTTTCCCTTCTCTTTCTCTCAAATCTTCCCAATCTCCCCTCCCTTTTATCTTTTGGCCGCCACCACCATCATTGTCGAGCTCCGATGAGCCTCTTCTTCTATTGCCTCCAATGTCCTCCTTTTGTCTCCCGCAGCTATCGTCACATGCTGATCCATCACCGCGGTAAATATTTATAGGAGCCTGTCATCATCTACTCTCTCCCGCTCATCGATCCGTCCATCGATGAATGACCACTAGTTGTACTCTCGTCTTGTGGTCCTTGGCATTCATGCATGGTCTTCTCACCAATCATCTCTCTAAGCCAAGGTGTCGCGGGTTCTTCTCCGGTGGCATGTGGGCAACCCACCCCTGAACCCTAACCACTATGGAGCGGGACCCACCTTCGTCACCACCTCTATGACAAGCCAATGATGGTGCCTCCTCCTTGACTTTGCCGCCATTGAAATGGAAGGAAGAAACGAAGAGGAGCATGGTGACAACATAATTTCTAAAGCTCTAGAAGTAAAGGCGAATACATTAACCAAAAATATATTTTCTTCATTTCAAATTATTTGTTGCAGAAATTGATAAAAATGGATGTATCTAGAACTTAAAATACGTCTAGATACCTTCATTTACGGGACAAGTAATTCTAGACGGAGGGAGTATATGTTACACACTTGCTTTCATGCGTGCGCTCATCGCTAGTGCAAAGAACGCCATAGTAGAAGAAATCCATATCCCTCACAAAATTAAGTTGACCATCTAGCTATAACCATCACACGGAGGAAATTCACCATGCTATTGGTACAAAGCAAAGTCATCGAAATCGATGAATCTACTAACGAAATCGAATGAGCTCTCGACGAATTGATCCCACTCCCAGCAGCTGGATAAAGGATCCCATGCTGGGGAAGCACAGGAAACGTCGGGTGACGAGCTCAGCTCTGCCGCCGCCGGGCTCGCTGGCTGCGAGCCTAACGAAGTTGTCTCAACTTTGGTCACCTTCAGTCGCAGTTCATCTGCTTCTCCTCCCTCCGGCAAGCATACGGCGTGCGACGAGCGTGGGATCTCGCTCCGGCCATCACCGTCATCAGAGTTTTGCCAAGGCGAGCCGCTGGTGCTGCTCTCTGTGGCCGACCCGATCCCGAAGTTGATGACGAACGGCTGCATCTTGACGTCCTTTTCCTCTGCGGCGGCGACGGCTTCGTCGCCGTGGCAGCAGGTGTGGTCGCCGAAGTAGGTGATGACGTAGAGGGAGAGGTCGTCGTCCGACTGCTGGACCTGCCTCGTCGCCGGGCAGCCGATGTCGTGCTTGTAGGAGCACCTGAAATAGAGCCTCGGGTGCTTGCTGTGCGTGATCTCCTTCTGCCCGTACTTCCTCCATATGTGCCCGTCCTCCGCCGTCGATCGCTTCTCGACCCTCGTCGCCGTCGATCCGCTGCTCGCGCGCATCCTGGAAAAACGTAACGAAGCGATCTTGTTAAGTCGTTTGCTCGCCTGAACTGAAATAGTAACGCCGGAGCAAGCAGACACTACTACAGCTAGCTTACCTTCTTTTCGGCCTCGTCTGAGAGGCTGCGCCGTCGGGCTCCGACGACCTGCGCTTCCTGCTGGCGAGCGCGACCGCATGGACGCCGTCGCGACCGTGGAGCGCGGCGAGGGCGCGGTCGCAACAGAGAAGGATCTCCGCGGCGAGCTCCCGGATCCCGCCGTGCTCCTGCGGCGAGCCCCCCTGGAGCAGGGCCTCGAGGACGGCGGCGGACTCCCGGCCCCGCACCACCAGCTCGGACACCACCGAAGCAGCTGGAGTGACGAGTGCCGCCATGTCCTCTAGAATCTAGACTACCGCCTCTCCCTTTACAGCTTAATTTCTTGCTTTTGTCTCTGCGCGCGCCTCTGGATTTGCTGCCTCGATGTAAGGAAGCCTCGATCTAGCTAATTGCTTTGCTCGAGGTGGAAAGGTGGCCATTTATACGCGCGGCTGAGCTCTCGGTTGGATCGATCGAGCTCGAAGTGAGAGCAATTGACCGCACGTGCCACGCGCGATCGCTTCGATCATGCGCCGCGTTGCATGGCGCGTCGCTGAGCTAAACTAATGAGAGTCTTTGCAGGGGACCAAGACGAGAGTTCACACTCACCCAGCACATCGATACAAATTGCACGGGAATTTAGGTGCTTACCGTGACTAGATTTAGTACATGTTTTACAAGGAAATTAAGAAAGCACGGGGTGCAAATCTTGACTGGTCAATTGAGAACTTCACAAAAGACAAGACGAGCTACGTGCATATCCACGCACCCATCAGCATCAGGTGGTACGTTTCTTTCGGAATACCTCATTCTGGCCATTTCATGCAACTGAAGGAGCCATAGTTTAAGCTAATTTTGTTGTCTAAAACTTCTGGTTAGCCAACCATCGTCCGGAACAGAAGTTGACCTAGCCCCCCATTAAGCTGTGACACAGTTGGCAGCTCGGCATTGGCAAGAGCTGGTGCAAATTCTCCTTTACTCAGTCCAAAGTAAACTTGAGTATTACTATTTTATTATTATTAAATTTAACACTTGTGGTTTGTATTTTGGTGTGACGTAACAACTTTATTTTATGGAAAAAAATCTAGCTCTAGATCTCCCAAAAATGTGGTTAATATTTTTTTGAATATGGAAAAAGGGGGCTCCACTGACCTCCCTCTGTATCGAAGGATCAACTTTGAGTTTTTCCTGACGATGAACGATGACAACTTGACGGCCTAGCTAGCACGTCAAGACACACCTCAAAGGAGTATCTAATGTGCGCGACGCCGTTGTCTAAAAACGTGTCCGTTACTTCATTTGCGGTGATTTTAAAAGCATCAAATTTGATCTCAATGCAGGCTTGGATGGACCATCAACAACTTGCAGTTGTGAATTCAGCTGGTGCCATAGCTGGCTGGCTAGTGTGTGTGCTGTGTGCACATGACTTATGACTAGATGTTGGTAAGACTACACGGAAAGCACCGTTCGGGCATCATTTTATTTATTTATTATGGAAGCCATTAATTATGTCATGTCATGACACAATGCTCAAAACAACGTTTATGACATCAACATTACCTAAGGATAAACACGTACTTTAGCTAATCATTGTCCATGCCGACTAGTATGTTTTTTCTATTTTCTATTTTTTACGGGGAGTTTATTTATATTGTTGCTCTTTGCAAGATGCTCTTCGTGCTAACAGATCCAAGTTAGCTTGCAAATGAATTGTTCTATTGCATTTTTTTCAAATAAAGTTAATTGCAACCACTTGTGTCTATCAAGTTCTTTGCAAACACTTCTTCGATGCCGCGTGCTCCATATGCATTTGGAGGCTGAGCAGGCGACACACAAACTCAAAGTCGTCCTATCTCAACCTCCATTTTTTATGTTTTCTCAGTCAAACACTTCGATTCCCTTCAAATTTAAACGTTTAGCACATCAAGCAAACATGTACATAGTTTTTTAAAAGTTGCATGAACAAACACAAATCACATGTTCCAACCATTTGCCCCGTCCCCTTCTCCTCTTATGTTCTCGTTGTCCCCTCGTCCTCTGGCGTGTGCATTGTCCCCTCCTTCAAGGTTGCTGAAATGTATGATCACCATTCACACCTTCTCCCAAAATTTGTGCGCCACCAGATCCATTTGGCTCAGATCCAACATGATGAGTTGATTCAGCTCGAAAATTTGTTCACTTGTCGTCCGATCCTCCGGAACTTAAGTTGAACTTACGCGCCTCCTTGTCCATATGAATTTCAAGCATATGCGCCTCAATCTGTTCCTGACACCGCCTTCTCTGTTGCATAGCATATCATCTTGCCTTCTTCTCTTGGTTCTTCCATTTCTCTGTCTCTAGGTTCTCTTGCTTCCTCTTTTCAGCTAAGTCATTTCTTGTTCGCATCACTCGTCGATATTTTTCTTCATAACCGCCGCCTGTCCTTCTTCCTTGAGCTTCTCCTTTCCTCTCTTCCTCCCATCGGGCCGACTATTCTAGACACATGAGTGGGACTTCTAGACACCTTTACGATTCCTCTCTAGGACCATCGTCATCACTATCATCGTCCATATCGAGAGACGAATTGTTGCACTTCCCAGTTTGTAGACTACCGTCTTCATTTCCCGACTTCCACTTCTTATGGCCTTCCAAAAAATTCCAACAATGTTGGAGGCCAAACGATTTCCCTTAAAACTTGGCCATTAGTTTGGACCTTTCTTGGGATATGTTATACTAGAACAAACAAATGCTCAAATTAATGAGAATTCTCAAAATAATGATGCAATCACTAGGAGGAGTGTGCTTCACTTGCTCCAAGCAACCCGACCAACGGTTACAAATCTCTTGAGTCTTACCCTCGGTTCATGAGATATTTGAGGGGAAGATCCATCCTCGATGCGCTTCCAATAATTTGCGCTCGATAAATCTTTCCTGGTGACCGCGTTGAGAGAGATATCTAATGTGCGCGACACAGTTGTCTAAAAACGTGTCCATTACATCATTTGGAGTGATTTTAAAAGCACCAAATTTTATCTCAATATAATGCAACCTTCGATGGACCACCAACAACTTGTAGTTGTGAATTCAGCTGGTGCCATAGCTGGCTAGCTAGTGTGTGCTGTGTGCACATGACTTATGATTAGATGTTGGTAAGACTACATGGAAAGCACCCGTTCGGGCATCATTTTATTTATTTTGTGTGGAAGCCATTAATTATGTCATGTCGTGACACAATGCTCAAAATACCGTTTATGACATCAACTTTATCTCAGGATAAGCACACAAATTAGCTTATCATTGTCCATGTTGACTCGTATGGCTGTTCTAGTTTATTTATATTGTTGCTACTTGCAAGATAGTCTTAATTTCCTGTTAACAGATCCAAGTTAGCTTGCAAATGAATTGTCCTAATGCATTTTTTTTCAAATTAAGTTAATTGCAACCACTTTTGTTTATCCATTTATTTGCAAACACTTCTTCTATGGAATTATAATATGACCTATTAGACCAACTCTAGCAGAGTTGTCATATCTGCAATCACCATAATGCATATGCCGCACGCTCCATATGCATTTGGAGACTGAGCAAGCGAGCACAAACTCAGAGTTGTCCTATCTCAATCTCCATTTTTTTTGGTTTTCTCAGTCAAACACTTCGACTCCCTTCAAATTTAAACATTTAGCACATCAAGCAAACATGTACATAGTTCTTTAAAAGTTGCGTGAACAATCACATTAAACCAACAACATGTACAAATCACATGTTCCAAGCGTTTGCATCGCGTCCTTCTCCTCATATGTTCTTGTTGTCCCCTCCTCCTCCGACTTGTGCATTATCCCCTCCTTGAAGGTTCCTGATGAAGGAAATATGCACTAGAGGCAATAATAAAGTTATTATTTATGTCCTTATATCATGATAAAAGTTTATATTATTCATGCTAGAATTGTATTAACCAGAAACATAATACATGTGTGAATACATAAACAAACAGATTGTCACTAGTATGCCTCTACTTGACTAGCCCGTTGATCAAAGATGGTTATGTTTCCTGACCATAGACATGAGTTGTCATTTGATTAACGGGGTCACATCATTAGGAGAATGATGTGATTGACATGACCCATTCCGTTAGCTTAGCACCCGATCGTTTAGTATGTTGCTATTGCTTTCTTCATGACTTATACATGTTCCTATGACTATGAGATTATGCAACTCCCGTTTACCGGAGGAACACTTTGTGTGCTACCAAACGTCACAACGTAACTGGGTGATTATAAAGGTGCTCTACAGGTGTCTCCAAAGGTACTTGTTGGGCTGGCGTATTTCGAGATTAGGATTTGTCACTCCGATTGTCGGAGAGGTATCTCTGGGCCCTCTCGGTAATGCACATCACTTAAGCCTTGCAAGCATTGCAACTAATGAGTTAGTTGCGGGATAATGTATTACGGAACGAGTAAAGAGACTTGCCGATAACGAGATTGAACTAGGTATTGAGATACCAACGATCGAATCTCAGGCAAGTAACATACCGATGACAAAGAAAACAACATATGTTGTTGTGCGGTTTGACCGATAAAGATCTTTGTAGAATATGTGGGAGCCAATATGAGCATCCAGGTTCCACCATTGGTTATTGACCGGAGACGTGTCTCGGTCATGTCTACATAGTTCTCGAAACCGTAGGGTCCGCACACTTAACGTTACGATGACAGTTATATTATAAGTTTATATGTTTTGATGTACCGAAGATTGTTCGGAGTCCCGGATGTGATCAAGGACATGACGAGGAGTCTCGAAATGGTCGAGACATGAAGATTGATATATTGGAAGCCTATGTTTGGATGTCGGAAGTGTTCCGGGTGAAATCGGGATTTTACCGGAGTACCGGGAGGTTACTGGAACCCCCCGGGGGCTTAATGGGCCTACATGGGCCTTAGTGGAAATAGTGTTGGGGAACGTAGTAATTTCAAAAAAAAAATCCTTTGCACACGCAAGATCATGGTGATGCATAGCAACGAGAGGGGAGAGTGTGATCTACGTACCCTTGTAGACCGACAGCGGAAGCGTTATGACAACACGGTTGATGTAGTCGTACGTCTTCACGGCCCGACCGATCAAGCACCGAAACTACGGCACCTCCGAGTTTTAGCACACGTTCAGCTCGATGATGATCCCCGGACTCCGATCCAGCAAAGTGTCGGGGAAGAGTTCCGTCAGCACGACGGCGTGGTGACGATCTTGATGTTCTACCGTTGTAGGGCTTCGCCTAAGCACCACTACAATATTATCGAGGATTATGGTGGAAGGGGGCACCGCA